TCAATACTTGCTGTCACATTGATCACCTTCTCTGACTACAATGTAACTAAGTCAGAAACGAATAGAAAAAAGAGAAGAAGAAACAAATTCCACAACGGAAGAGTAACTAGTAAAAAAAAGACCTACATATGTGGATACTAAGAAACTTTGAAACATACTATCAGGTTAAAGAAAGAATAACGCAAAATTTAAGAAACATTTTAAACTGAATAATTCTACATGTAAAAGCTGCTAAGAAGCAGCTAGGGCATCACTTATTTTGTAGCTTTAAATGCTTGTGCAAAAGGAAAGGAGGAGGAAAAATAACAAGCCACGTATTTATCTTAAGAAATCAGAACAAAAACAGCAAAATAAACCTAAGGAATGTAAGTGGAAGGAAATAAAGGTAAGGACTAATATTTCATTTAAAAAATTGATGAACCCCTGGTCAGAGAGATCACAGTGTGCATGTCCACCTGCATAAACGGTTGATGGGAGGAATTAAAAGGGGACAGCTTTACAGATCCTGCAGACAGGTAAAGGATAAAAGAATATCATGAACAACTTTACACCAATAAACCTGAAAATCTGGACAAAACAGACAAACTTCCAGAAAAACATATTTCCAAAACTAACTCAAAAGGGGAAAAAAGCGTCCTGCATCAGGAGTTACACTTCCCACAAAGCCAGTCCAAGCTTGGGCTATTTCATAGGCGATTTCTCCCGACCATTCAGGGGATGAACAACTCGGGATTTATACAAACCTCCCCGTGATGCAGCGAAAGAGGAGACGCTCCAGCTCATTCTGCAAGGTGTCTTGGCACCAAAACTTGATGAGGGCAGAAGACAAGAGGGAGACTGTGGGAGACTGTAGCCCTAGACTTGGGCACAGAAGTACTAAACCAATAATCTAATAATCTAAACTCACCACTGAACAGGAAGGGCAACACACATGACCACGGTGGAATTTTTCCAAGGATGGAAGGTTAGTTTAATACAAAATCCACTCCTGTAATCTACCACATCAGCAATTAAAGGAGAAGAATCACATGATACTCTTAATAAAAGAAAAGTGTTTGATTACATTCAACATCCGCTCACAATAAATGCAGAATAAAACCCTGAGGAGAAATCGTCACGCAGCCATTAGAATGGCTAAAACTGCAGGTACTGCCGATACACAAACACAACGACACTGAACGTAACACAGAACAGCCAGTGGCAGTGGAACCTGGTGCCACCACCTTAGAAAACTGGCAGCTTCTTATGAAGCTGACACACGCCCACCTCCCTTGTGGCCAGTTATTACCCAAGAGAAGTGAAAACACACGTCCCCCGAAGCCCTGTGGTCACAGCAGCTTTGCACAGATAGCCCCAAACCAGAAACAAGCCCAACAGCCACCAAGAAGAGCAGGTGGAAACAGAGCGGTTTATTCCCACAGCGGAACACCAGGAGACAACAGAGCAGAGACCGCCTGAAGCTGTGGGAGGGGTGGGGCCCTATAGCAGGTGCTGAGCGAGAAGCCAGGCCCAGGAGCTCCAAGCTGCCCCCTGCTGCTGACAGGAGGCGCCAGCGCAGCCCTGGGGGGTGAGACGGCCATCTGGCTGGGGCGCGGCTGACCCAGCACACAGCTCCCAAAACTCACACTTCCAGCTAAGACCATCCCGCCTGGGCCATGTGCAAACTAACCCTCAACGACATGCCTCACATGGGCCAAGGCCATGAACAAGGAGTTTGTGGAGGTGGAAGTGGGAGTGAACAATAAGCTGTGAAAAGATGCCCAGCCTCATGAAACTTAGAAATTAATAAACCTCAACAGAAAAAAAATTAAGCAGGAAGTGCCAGGGTCTAAAGTGACCCAGCCCCCTGCTGGAGCCCGGGGACACAGGAGGCCACGCTTTGGGCCTGCCAGCAGTGGGGCACAGGCAGGAGACGGCAGGGGAGGTGGACACCATCGGACACCGTGGCTCCGTGGTCACTGTGGAGGAGCACTGTCTGCAATGGCTACCTCGAGGAAATCCACGAAACCGAGCCCTCCGAGAGCCGCAGCCCCAGAGCCTAGCACGAGCTCCCAGGAAGAGCAGAGCTCTCCCGCCACCACCGGGAAGGGAAGAGGATGAAACAAGACTAAGACCAAGGCCAGAGCCGAGTGGCCTCTGGAGGCGGCAGAAACTGTGCGAAGACAGCTGAGAAACACGCACCATCAGGAAAGGGCGGTTTCCACACATCTAGCTGGAAAGGGATCACCATCCCCTAAAGAAACTGCTGAGACTCAAGGAGTGGGAAAAAAAGGAGAAAGAAAAATTGGCAAAAGAAATGAACAGGAATTTTGCTGACGAGGAAGTACAAATGACCCACATTAGTAACCAGAGAAATTCAAATTAAAACCACAATACCATTTCACACCCACCAGATTGGCAAAAATTAAAAGTCAGGCAAGTGTTGGCAAGAATGTAGAGCAGCAGGGACTCTCGTCCCCGCTGCTGGGGGCCGGAGCAGGCACAATTGCCCTGGGCAGCCGCCTGGTAGTAACACTCAGCACACCCCCAAACCCCACTACGGGCACATGCTGACGACGGGCCTGCTGCCCACCGGAGGCACGCACACAGAGGACAGGTGCGAGAATGCCAGCACCTGGAAACAAGCCAAAGGTCCCCTGACACAGCATAGACACACACTGTTGTCTTACAGGACCACCCTGAGGCATCGACAGCCATCAGCTCGGCACCTGCTCAGAAACTTAAACATGGGACAAAGGCAAGAAGTGAGAACAAACAGAGAAAGTACAACTCCTTTTACACAAAGTCCCAAATGAGCAAAACGAGAACCAGCCTGCCTGAGGATGCGAGCTCAGGAGGTACAAGCCGGGGACCAGCCTGCCTGAGGATGCGAGCTCAGGAGGTACAAGCCGGGGACCAGCCTGCCTGAGGATGCGAGCTCAGGGGGTACAAGCCGGGGACCAGCCTGCCTGAGGATGCGAGCTCAGGGGGTACAAGCCGGGGACCAGCCTGCCTGAGGATGCGAGCTCAGGGGGTACAAGCTGGGGACCAGCCTGCCTGAGGATGCGAGCTCAGGAGGTACAAGCCGGGCACCAGCACCAGCTCACAGCGGGAGGGACTGCACCGGGACAGGAAGGGGGCTTCACTATAACCATGCTCTGTACGTTCAGCACATAAACCCTGTGCCCACCCTCGCTGACGGCTGCTCTGCTCACCCCATGGTCCATCAACTCCACACCCACAGAACACAACCTGCTGTCCCACCTTACTCTTCCCCCCACATCCCTTCCAGGTAGAGCCAGTTAGCCCTCAACACCTAGTGCTGTCCAGCCCAGGCCCCTACATCCTGCTCCATGCTCTCCCTGCACACACACCAGGGTGGGCTTCCTAGACCAGCTCCAAGGGGGGCTGACAAGGCCCCTCAACACAGCCCCTGCTGGCCTGGCCTCTCCTGCCACCTGCCCTGCCTCCCTCTGGTTAAAACTTCAGGAGTCTTTCAGAGAGCCCCGGGAAGCTGCTGAAGAGGCACAGCAAAGCCAGGTTACTCTGTGCCCTGCCTGGGGGGCACTCCGCCAGGAAGGAGGCAAGTGTGGACTTGGGGAGTGTTGGCAGAGGAGGCAGCGCAAGCGGTCCAGGGGATGGTGGTGATGTTGCAGAGGGAGACAGACAAGAGAAGCATGGGAGAAAGAGGGTCCAGGAGGACCCTTGGCTGTGAGGCCCAACGCTGGGGCAATTGCCAAGATGGGAAAAGGAGAGGAGGCCAGGCTGGGGAAATGCTCCTGAGGCTGGCCTTGAGGCCCAGAGATTCCCAGAAGAGAGGCAAGCAGGTAGGTCTGGAGTTCTTCGCCCCAAACCCTGGCTGACACTGACCGTCAAGTCTTCACGGACACAGCATCCTGCAGGAGGCCCCACACATGTCTGGGAGTGATGCTAAGCACCCATCCCTTCCACTCAGCGCAGCCAATGCCCTGAGCTCCCAGCCCTGTGCTGTGGGAAGGAAAACCCTGCTGTCTGGCACCCTCCGTGTCCCCAGTGCCTCACTCAGCAACACCTGTTGAAGGAGCCAGGGCAGAGAGCGTGGCCCCCTTGGTGCACACCCACCACTTCCTGTGCCCGATCGCACTCCTGAAGTCCCACTGGGAGGTCTCCCCAGGGAGAGCTCTTCCCTGCAGCCCTCACTGCCTAGCATCTATTCCAGAATAGACTGGGTGCCAGTTTGTCTCTCCCCCTCAGCCTGCGAGCTTGGTCAGCAGGGACCACCGAGTGGGGAGAAAACCCGCAGAGCCTCAAGCTGACAGGAGAAACAGGGAAGTTGTGAGTCTGAGTGGAGGTGGGCTGTCCAGTGCGCTGACATGTGGGTAAACCTCCTCCAGCTGCTACCCACGGGCAAGGAGTGCTTCCCCACCAAGTGGCTAGAGCAGCGTCTTTTGTGAAGACAAAATTAAGAGCAGGATGCAACGAACAGTGTTTACGTACAAAGAAGTGTCTCTAAATCACCAGCCAGAGTACAAACAGGTAAAAGGCGATGACCACCGGCCAGGACAGAGAGGATAGCGCCAGACCCCCAAGAGGATGAAAAAATGCGTGTACTGGACGAAGGAATACAATCGTGGTGGTAGATTTGTGCGTCCTCTGGACACTGCGCGCCCTGAGGGTCACTCCCAGGCCGCACAGGCTTGACAGTGTGTTAGACGCAAAAGGAAATCTGTGGTACCCGGTGGAGAGACGAGACACCGTAAGTCAACTCCACCAGCACCGCATCAGTAGGCGGGTGCAGCGATGCAGGCTGATAGCTAACCAGGTGAGCGCCCGGGAGAGCCTCCGGAGCCGGCGGGGCCTGAGATACCCGCGCCGCTCCGTGCCCGGCGCGGACCGAGACCTCGGGGACCCTCTGCGCGCCGGGGGCTGCTCGCAAGGGACGCGCGTGCCGGAGGAGGGGCGCAAACGCGACGGCCTTGGGTGGGGGCCCCGGGCGGCCGGCAGGTGCGCGCGGGAACAAAGCGCCGGCGGCGGCGGCGTACCTGGGCACGCAGCTGGGACTGGAGCCGTCCACCTCCCAGGTGGCGAACAGGTTCATGGGCACCGGCGTGTTGAGCGCGGCGGGCGCGCCGGCCAGGCCCAGGCGGCCCCGCTCGGCCATGGCGCCGGCCCCGCCGCTTCCTCGGGCCTGGGGCTGCGGCCGGGCCGCGGACGCGCGGCGGGCGGGCGGGCGGCCGGGCGCGCGGAGGGCGGCGGCGCGGTCACATGGCTGCCGGGCGGCGGGGACGGCCGGGCGGGCGGCGGACAGGCCCGCGGGCGGCGACCAGGCTGCGGCCGCCCCGCCCCACCCCGCCCGCCGCGCGCCCCCGCCGCGCGCCCCCGCCCCCTGGCCGCGCCGCCGCCGCCGATTGGCTGGGCGGGCGCGCGCCCGCCGCCCTGGGGCCAATCACGTCCCGCGGAGCGCTCGCCGGAAGTGAGGTACGGCCCCTCCCACCCCCTGCCGGCTCCTCGCGAGGCGTCCCGTGCCCGCGGCCGGCGGGAGCGCGCGTCCGCGCCTGCGCACAGCCCCGCCCCAGCGCGCCCCGCCCCGCCCCCCGGGAGCGGCCGGGAGGGGCCTGGCGAGACCCGGGTCAGTCCAACCCGCGCGCCAACCCATGCGCTCTCCTGTCCCGGACCTGGCGCCCGCTCGGCACCCCACGCCCCGCGCACCCCCGCAGCCTCCCCGGGAGCACTCATTGTCCCCCTTCGTGCCCCATGTCTCCACGCACCAACCCCCAAGCCTCCGCGCGTCCCCGCCCCCCCAGTCCAGCGCATCCTCCGAGTCTCCCCGCCCCCCTCGCGCGCTCCCTTCGTCCCCCGGAGCCCGCCCGTCCCCTGCCGTCCCTGTGTCCCCCACACCGACCCCAGACCGCCAAGCCCGCACCCCTCCAGTCCTCCTGACTCCCCCCACCGTCTCCTTGTTCTCCCCGGCCCCTGTGTTCCCCGCAGGCCCTGGCGGATGGCTGCGGTTCCTGCCCCCGGGGGCCTGGGGCGCCCCACAGGCTCCGTGTGTAGAACTGACCCTCCATGAATCCCTTTGGAGTGTCCCGTTTCTGCCCGAGCCCTCTTAGTATCCAGCAATGCCTCTTCTGCGTTTTTTGCACGAGACAATGGAGAACAAATGTCTGGGGGGCAGGGGCGGCTGCTGGCCCTGCCGCTGACAGTGAACTTGGGGACTCAGGCCAGTAAGAGGCAAAGACCAGAGCTGCCCGCTGGGCCCAGGAGGCAGGGAAGGTGGAAAAAGGCCCTGGGAAAGGACATCTAAGTTTGGGGGCCCAGGGAGGAGTCCCCTCCCCCCATCCTTTTGGCGGCGGTTCTGGTCAGTCACCAGATCCTGCGCTGAGATTTAGGAAAAGCTTTTCTGGCGTCTCTTCCGTTTCTTTGTATCCACAGTGTTACACAGCTGCTTTTCCCTCCCGGTTCCTGTCTGTATCTTGCTGTCTACAAGCAGTTTTATTGAAACTAGTCCAACCCAGGCAAACTGACTTTGTTCCCTTGCCCTTGGGGTTTACCATCCGAGCGCCCCTTAGCTCTTTCTCCCACACACAGTACCCCAGCCGGCTCCCTCCTTTGTAAGAGCTCAGCCTCCTCCGGCTGTAACTCCCGGATCTGGAGCTGCAAACAGCTGTGACTGCTTAATGCCAGGGTTGCGCTTTGGGGAGAACAAGAGGATCTGTGTTCCCCACATGGTCCTGCTCCTTTGGGATGGTACAACTGAGAGCCGTGAGGGTCCCTCTGTCCTCCGCCAGCTGACTGGTGTTGTCTTACACTGCTGCTCTTGCCAGGCAGAGTGCCTGCGGGTCTCATACCTATGAGATGGGGGGGATGACTGTGTTCGGAGGGCAGGTCTCAGTCCCCTGCGAGAACAGGCTGCCTTTGGTGACAGGGCAGAAGACAGACACCCATTGACCTCAGCATTTGGCGTGCTGCGCTGTGGGACAGCGAGGAACAGTTGCAGTCAGATGAATGGGCCGCCTGACACTTGGTGTCTGTGTGCGCCAGCATCTCGCCTGGCAAGGAGTGCGGGAGCGGGGGTCAAGTGAGGAAATGTGGGGTGACCAAACCCTGCACCTGGGGGCTTGACACCAGTTGCCCGCCACAGTAGAGCTGTGCCCCTCCTCTGTGCCAGCCACTGTCGTGAGCCCTTCATGGACATGACAGTCCTGTCCCATCCCCATTTAGGGTGAGGAAACTGAGGCAGATGAGTTTATGCAGCTACTAAGGGGAGAAGCAGGGTGTGGGCCCACCAGGTACCCACTGTGGTGGAAAGCCTTAAACACTCCTGCGAGGCGGGGAGGCGGAGACTGGAAACACACTGTGTGCGCTGTACCTGTGACCCTGTGCGTGTCTGTTTGTTAAGGGGGGACCATACGGACACAAAAATGTTAGTGGTGATGAGATTGTGGCCTTCTGTATCTTCCAGGTTTTCTATAGTGGACAGATATCACTTTGGTCATCAGGGTTAGTTTTTTGGCCAGAACCTGTTATTTGCTTTGTCGCTCTCTGTGTTTAAAAATGATCCCATGTTCATCTTCCTTCCAAGGACCGTGGGTCCCAGGATGACTGCCCTGAGAGCTGAGAGGACACCCCATCAAATGAGCCCCCACCCCCAGCCCAGTGTTTGGAGCACGGCTGTTCTTTCTGATGGCTGTTTATTTGAAGCAGGAACTTAGTTCCAGAGGAACCTCGCTGGACGGCTGGAGTGGCTGGGTGTGGTTGGGGAGGAAGGCCCCCAGTAGACAGTTCCCTAGAGTCCTGGGATCCCAACAGGGCACCCTGAAAACCTTTGCTGAGGACCTGACAGTGCGCCACCTGCCCGTCAAGTTTGTAAAATAAATCAAAGCCGTGGATTTCCAAGTGGTTGTTTCCCGGCAGCACTCCCGCTCTGTTGGAACCCCAACTCCTGGAAGACTGGACTGAGTGAAGGCTGCCACCCCTTTACCGCGGTCCCGCCCCTCGTCGCTGGGGGGCCCTCCGCCTGCAGGTGGTGGCTCTGGCATTTCTGGTTGGTGGGTTGGGACCTCCTGCTCTTTGGAAACTCATTCATCTGTTCAGCCTGGGTTAAGATGATGCACCCCGGGGGCTGGCCCCGTAGCGCAATGGTTAAGTGCGCACGTTCCACTTCAGCAGCCCTAGGTTTGCCAGTTCGGATCCCGGTGCGGACATGGCACTGCTTGGCAAGCCATGCTGTGGTAGGCGTCCCACATATAAAGTAGAGGAAGATGGGCATGGATATTAGCTCAGGGCCAGCGTTCCTCAGGAAAAAGAGGAGGATTGGCAGCAGTTAGCTCAGGGCTAATCTTCCTCAAAAAAAAAAAAAAAAAGATGATACACCCCAGGCTTGGGGACGTGATGAAGCACCAAGCAGGCACGAAACTCCCCTCCAAGAGAGGGGAGGAGGCAATCTCCAGGGTGTGGGCACTGTGGGGCTCCCCTCAGGCCAGGCACCATGATGTGCGTCTTTGAGCCGTGAGCACTGCAGGCTCTTGGGCCTGGAGTTAGCCACAGAGAGTGTGCTGGCACTTGCCTCTGCCATGCTCATGTGGGGCGGCTGCTGCACTCCTAGGCACTGTCACCTTTGGAGTGGCTGCAGCCAGTCAGGTGAGTGGCCAGGGCCTCCTTTAGGGCCCAGGCCTGGGTCAACCGGATGGTTCCAGCCTGCTCCAGCCCACAGCTCTTCAGTGCCTTCTCTGACTTCAGGAGCAGGGCAGAGTAAGCTGTCCCGAGTGGAACAATGGACAGATCTGGGAAACCTCTGGATGTGGCTTATGTCATATCCCACTCCCATGAGTGGGACACGTCATATGGCTGAGCCACCATCACTGAGGTTGGGGCTGAAACTCTTTGCATGGAAGGCACAGTGGATCACAAGCAGTGGCCAGGGAGGCAGTCCTCTCACAAGGAAAGGAACAGTTGTGACCAGGGATTCAGGCAGCCTGGTACAGGGCAGGTGCACAGGGAATGACGTGAACAGGAAGCGTGGCTGCAGAGCTCCAGACCCCAGGGCATGTCTGAGATGCTCCATGAAGGTGGAACAGGAATGTGGGTATTTGGCACAAGAACTCCATAGGATGGGTGGACTCACCTTGAAGGCACCACCAATAATCCATCCTTTGATATTCAACATAGGGTTAGAGATTCAGACACCTAGGAGTGCCTGCCTGTCTTATTGCCCTGTCCACCCCTGACGAGAGCCTGCACTTCATGAGTCGAGACAGTATGTGGCACCACCCCTGGGATGCTCTGCTAAGTGGCTGGCATGGAGCAGGCATCCCATGAACTACTGCTGCTGACTGGCTGCTGTGGAAGCTAGAAATTCCACCAGGAGCTGTCCCAGGAAACATCCCAGGCGACCCTCACAGAGTTGAGTCAAAGGTTCAAACATTTTTTCGTTTAATAAATGATTGTCAAGCCAGTTTTAAACCCTGGGAACATAGGAAAGAAAAAGCAGGGCATGGTTCCCACCCTCGTGGAGCCTATATTCTCCTGGAGAGAGACTATGAATAGGTCAACCAACGCACAAAAAAGGTGTACGTTCAGAGAATGGAAGTATAAACCCGAGTGGTGTGGCCAAGACAGGATGGAAGGGGAAGATGTCTGAGCTGAGGACTGAAGGACAGTGGGGAGCCAGCCACAGAATGGGCAGCACTGGGTCAGGAGCACCCAGGAAACATGTCTGCTTGGCTCAGGCTCTGGAGGGGTAGAATATTCCCCAAGAGTTTAGATCGGGGCTGCCCTCAGCATGGTTTGCACTAAAAATTCATAATCCCTGTGTTGTCTGGGAGACCCTAAGCCAAGACATTATCCCAGAGTTCCAGGTTAGGAGGGTCCTAGGCGGCTGGCGGGAGAAGCACAAATTCCCCCGGGGGGGCCTCCTTCGTCCCAGACTGTGCAGAGTTGTCAAAGAGAAAGGCAACTAGGCTGGAGATGACAACACCAAAGGAAACAAGCCACCATGCGCTCGAGTTAGAAGAATCGACCGTGAAGGACCTCAGATACTGACGTTATCGCCAAGATGAAAACACAAGAGGGTTTAAAATAAACATGTGGAGGAAGAAGATAATATAAGAACAAAGGCCAGGCAGTTTTCAAAAACAAAAACAAAAATTGAAGAGAACTTCTATAAACAACAACAAAAAAATCAAAGTTTGTGAAGTTCAGTGAATGG